GCGCCCCGCCCCGAGCTCCCGCGTGGGGCCGCTCCCTCCCTGCCTCCCTCCCAGGGCCTCTCGGATAACACGCAGGCTGCGCCTCGCACCTGCACTTCAGACACACAGTTGATACTTTTAAGTTTAAGAAGCCTCCACTATTGCTTGAGACACGCTAAAATATTATTCGTTGTTGATCTTCAATTCAAATGCGACTGCGTATCCCACATTTTATTGGCTAAACCTGGGGACTTGCCTCCCTCCTCCAGTCTTCTCTTTCCTTTCCTGCCCTCATGAAACTGGGCCTCATTTCTCCACCTGTAAAACGGGGTTAAGGATGGTCCTGCCGCATGGGTGGTGTCAGGGTTGGAGGAAATAAAATACCCAAGCCCCTTAGACCAGTGCCTGGCATATACTACGTCCTGTATGTGTGTTACCTTTTAATGTAATTGAGGGTGATTATTATTACTCTCCAGTACATACTGATTGAGCACCTACTATGTGTCAGGCACCCTGACAAGTGCTGGGCATCCGGGGGTGGGACAGTTGGCCTGACCATTGCCCTCATGGAGCTTCCATTCCAGTGGGAGGCACAGGCCAGGGGAAAAAAATCAATATAGACTTAAAATTTTGTCACACATGCGAAGAAGGGCTCGAGCAGATAGAATTAAGGAAATTAAGAGGAGGGCACTGTCTTTGTAACAGTGTCCCTGGGGCTTCCCTGAGGTGGTGCCATTAAAGCTGGGAGCTGAAGGGTTCGAGGGCTGGGAAATGCGTTCGGGGGGAGGGAACAGCAGGGGTGAAGACCCTTTGGTGGGTGAGGGAGGTCAGAATGAGGGGTCCTGCAGGGGTCCTGCTAGCCTCGGGGCTGGAATGAGGCCTCCGGGGCATTTGGAACCCAGCTCTGCAACTTTCTTGCTGAGCGGCCTTGGGCAAGTTGCTTCCCCTTTCCTGGGCCACCCTTCCATGTCGTGAGAAGGGACCTCAGCAGAACCTGTCTCATCAGGTGCTAGGGGAGCAAATGAGATAATGTAGCTGTGCTAGATCCCAAATGTACTTGTGTGGCAAGTGTGGCACATTATAAGCATTTCTGATGTGTCCTCGCCCAGCTTCCCCCACCCCAGGGACACCTGGCTTCATTCATCTGTCCCATGAAGCCTCATATATAGTAGGTGTCCAGTAAATGTGGATTGCTTTTTCTTTGCACACCTCCAGCTTTTTGGGGGGTGTCCTGAAAACTAGGCCTAGGGTGTTCAGATGTTGATATCTGGGAAGGTGTGGGTGGGAGTTTTTATAAATCCCATTTAGTATAGCGATTCTCAGAGCAAGTTCTGCCACCAGCTGAATCAGCATTCACCGAGGCTGCATGTGAAATGCAGACTCCTGGGCCCTGCCATGGACCTGTTCCACCCAGGCACCTGCGTATTTAACAGACTCCTTGGTAATGCTTCTGCCCATGGAAGTTTGAGAGGCACTAAGCCTGGCTCTGCATGGTAGCTCTGTCCATGAAGTTTGTCTTTGCTTACATATATAAATATTTATTTATTATATGTAAATGCATAACACATTTAAATATATATCTAAAATGTACATTTGTGTATAATTCACCTATATATAATGATGTATTATAAGAAATACGTTACATATATATCATTCCATAAATATAATTTTTAAGGAACAGGAATGTGGATATCAGATCCACTTTCTTCTGGCCCCTTCTGAGAAGGTTCTTTGTTCTCTAATACTTGATTTATTTACTTATTTATTTTTATTGTTTTAGAGAGAGAGAAAGGGAGAGGGGGAGAGAGGGAGAGAAATATCCATGTGAGAGAAACATTGATCATTTGACTCCCACACCCCAACTAGGGAGCGAACCTGCAGCCTGGGCATGTGCCCTGACTGGAAATTGAACTAGAGACCCTTTGGTGCACGGAACATTGCTGCAACCAACTGAGCCGCACTGGCCAGAGCTTTATTGATTTTGTTTTTTAAGAGAGGAAGGGGGATGGAGGGAGGGAGAGAGAGAGGGCGGTTAAAGAGAGAAACATCGATTTGTCGTTCCACTTATTTATACATTCGTTGGTTGATTTTTGTATGTGCCCCGATGGGGGATCGAACCCGCAACCTTGGTGTATCAGGATGACACCTAACCAACTGAGCTTCCTGGCCAGGGCCTGTTCTCTAACACTTCAGACTTTGTGTTGCACTCTGGGTGGGGCCCTTGTTACTGCTGACCCCCTACGGTGTTTCCAGTTGTGACAGTGCTGTCCACAGTGCTGACACACCCTGAGACTGTGTCATTGCCCCTGCCTTGCTTTCAGGTCCACCCTGAGAATGAAGAATGGACTTGCTTTGAGCAATCTGCCTCGCTCGACATCCGGTCCTTCTTTGGCTTTGAAAGTGCCTTGGAGAAGATTGCCATGAAGCAGTACACAGCGAACGTCAACAGGGTAAGAGAGGGGCTCCATGGGTCACAGGGAGGAAAATGCACAGACCTCAAGGGCTTCCAATCCTGGTTCAAACCCCACTCTGTCACCTGGCAACTCATGTGACATCAGGCAAGATCCTCAACCTTCCTCATCCGTAAAATGGGTATTCTAACAATGGCCATATTACAGAAGAAGATGGATGGACAGGCCCATAATGGGGGCATCATAATCACTGTCCCGATTGCTCCCAGGCTTGTGTGTGAACTCTGCGGACAAGGAAGGGACATTGTGCGGTGCTTTTTCCTGGTTAAAATGATCCCTGCTTAGGTTAAAGATCTCAGACCCATCACAGAGTAGAGGCCTTTCAGTGTAATGAAACAGATGAAATCACTTAAATAATATATTTTGTCCAATTGTGTTATCAATATAAAACTTACTTGGGAGCTATTTTACATTCTTCGTTTGGTACCCAAGTCTTGCAAATCCGGTTGATATTTAATATTCACAGAACATTTCCATTTGGCCCAGCCACATTGCAACTGCTCAATAGCCATGTGCCAGGGCTGGAGTCAGGGCCAAGTGGAGGTGACTCCCAGGCTGGCACCGTTGCCCCGCTGTCCTGCCCCCCTGTGGGCCCTCTGCTGATGCGTCTTGGTTCTCTCTGGCTTCCAGGGGAAGGAGGTTATCGAGCATTACCTGACCGAGCTCATCTCTCAGGGCATCTCTCACATTCCCCGGTGGACGCCCGCCCCAGTCCCAGAGGAGGGCGCTGGCTCCCAGGCTGGGCCCGGAGATCCCTGCTTGCTGGAGGCCCTTGGGCCCAGGAGCACCCAGGGCCCCGCTCCGGAGGTGGTTGGTACCGACGGTAGGTGACTGTGGCTGAGGCCTGAAGTCTTGGGAAGTCTGCATGGGGTTTGCTCACTCTGTGGGGGGAGAAATGCCGTGGATCCCCTCGGGGACAGGTCTATTTTACATCCAGGTCTGGGGCCTGGAATGACTCGGCCTCCTCCCTCTCACGGCTACTCTGCGCTCTCTCTTTTCCAGACCAAGAGCCAAACTGGTTTATTTCTAGATCTGAATTGTCCTGACCTGGTGCCTCAGGGTTCCCCTTTTCTCTGGTTTAATCACTGTTTTAGGTTATATGGGTAATGCGTGATCATGGTGGGGAAAAAAATTCAAATTGCTCGGGTGTCAAGTAAGTAGCAAGACCCCTTTGCTCTCCTTGGAGGCAATAATAGTTTTGTGTTTGTGAAACTATCTAGGCATCTATACGTACATGATATGTACATACATACATACATACATACATGTATAACCTATGTTGAACAAAAGAGAGCATATTATACAAAATAATTGATACTTTGGTTTGTTTTTTTTCACTTACTACTGTTTTTTGAACAGCTTTCTGCATCAGTGCATATGTCTTAGCACTTTGCAGTATTTCATGGTGTGGTTATACCAGGACTTATTTATTAATGAACATTTATTGATTATTTATTTATTTAAATCTTCACCCGAGGATACTTTTTCCATTGATTTTTAGAGAGAGTGGAAGGGAAGGAGGAGGGGAAGAGAGAGAAACATCGACGTGAGAGAGACACATCCATTGGTTGCCTCCTGCACTTGCCCTGACGGGCTGGGGCAGGATCGAGCCTACAACTGAGGTGCATGCCCTTGATCCCTTTGGTCCGTGGGCCAACGCTCTAACTGCTGAGCCAAACCGGCCAGGGCTATTGATTATTTCTAATTAGTTTATTTAGCTAGTCCTCTACTGAAGAATATTTAGGCTGTTTCTTTTTTTTTAAAAAAACAAATAATGTGATATCTTTGTTTTTAAAAAATATTTGCATGAGTATATACATAGCATATAATTTAAAAAGTTGAATTGATGAGTCAAGGTTACATGCAACTAAAATTTCGGTTGATTTACCACTTAAACCTGCAAAGAGGTTGTACTATGCAGTGTTCCACCAAAAGTGTATAGCTGTTTCTATTCCTGACTTCACCTTGGCTCCCCACAAGACTGTCATTTAACACTTTAAACTTCTGAAAGGCAGAGTGTCCACTCTCAATTAATGATCACTTCTTTCCTATGAGTGAGGTCAAGTATTATTTTTTCATATTTAGTCACTCTAACATTTTTGTGAATCTTTGTTCTTTGTCCATTTTCCTAATTGCTTATTAATTCTTATTACTTTGTGAGAGCTCTTTGCATATTAAGGCTATTAGCCCTTTTTCATATTTCAGACTTTTATTGACATGGAAAATGTTCATAATATGATGTTAAAGGAAAAAAACCCTAGGGTACAAAATGGCACATACCCCTGAATTCAGTTTTAACCATGTGTACTTGTGCTCTCAGCACTTCAGTGTCTCCTTAGGGGACATTGAAGTATACGGCTTGCCTGACTTAGAGAAGCACCATCTAACCAAAAACACATCTGAGCCTGTGCTTAGGAAGGACACAATTCATCTGTTTAACAAATATTTATTCTGCACCAACTGTGTGCACTAGCTGGCTGCTATTATATATATTTTTAAATTATCAAAAAAAATTTTTTTACAACACTGCCGTTCTTCTGCCCCTTCCTGTGCTTACACTCTGCAGGTCATGCCCTGTGCCCACCCTGTTTTGCAGAGGCCTTTCCTTCCTTCTCCGTCTGTGCTGTGCACCAGCAGGGCTGGAACTCAGGATGGCTGGTGGAAGGCACAGTCATGCCTCCCCCCCCCCCC